AGTATTCAATTGTTGGAAATAGCATATAATTGACAATATATCTGTGCATTTTGTCTGTAATTTGCTTTCTTGCAATAGCATTAGATATAACTTTGACTTTTTTTTTGATAAGTGTCTCTAGTATTGCTTTCCACTTTTTTCCTTATGCCAAACTCCTAGAACTCTGATAGCTGAATTGTGGATGGCTGGCTGGATTTCAGTATTGTTGATAGTAATCAGTTATTTTGAAGTATTAGTTCTGACTTATGGAGGTTGACCTTGATGTCATTGAGATTATAGAAGGAGGTGCTGAGTTTAGTTATTTTTTTCAAGTCCTTTTTATTTTATGTGATAAAGGTAATATTGTCTATATATGCTGTGATTGCAATGTTTGTCTTGATGCTACTTTCCATATCAATATATGATTTGTAATTTTGAATTGTATATCCTCTACACTTACTGATGGCCAATATTAGGGGTTGTAGTAGATATGCCATAAGAGGGGTGATATTGTGTCTCCTTGATCAATACCTTCATGAACTGGGTATGCATCTGTGTTTCCATAGTAGATAATAACTATGTTGTAGCAGTTAGTGAAACAGTTGCCAATGATGTTGATGATTTTGTTAGGTACTTTAATACACTATAGTGAGTGGTTGAGTTTGTGTGTATTGACTATGTCATATGCTTTGCTCATATATTGGAAGAGCATATAACAGGACTTGTGTTTTTCTCTGGCATCTTCTAGAATTTGGTTCAGAATTGTTATAGGTTCTTTTGTATTATACCCAGGAAGAGCTGCCCAGTTGTGTTCAGAAAGGATATTGTGTTTGATGAAAATGTTGAAAAGTTTTTTTGCTAGTATTTTAGTAAAGATTTTTTATAGTTTCGAGTAGGGTAATGGGTCATGTAATGTTGATGTTGTGCTGCCAATCTTTGGGCTTTGGGATGGGATATATCGTGTCTCTTTTCCATTCAGTTTGAATAGTTACTGTATTGAGGATCGTGTTTAAGAGGAGTGTAATGTATTCTATCGTTTTTTATCTGAGATGTTTGTATATGATGTATGGGATCTGTGAAGGGCCAGGAGCTGATTTATTGTTGATATTGCTGATAGTTTGTTCATCTTCTTCTGCTGTAAAAGGCTTGGTTGTTGTGTTGTACCATTCTTGTTTGATGTGTATCTTTGGCTCATATTTTGGCTCCTAGATTGTACCTGCTATCTCATAGTCAGTGATTTTTGCATACATTGTTCAAAATGTTGTTTAATTTCTTCTTTTACTGTGTCTGGGTCTGTAATGAAGGTTTTTGTATTGTATTCCTCTTTAATTAACCTGGATGTGATTATACTTTTCTTTGGATTTTCTAGTAAGGAACAAATCATGACTTTTTTATCTGAGCAGAATCATTTTTTTTGTCTGGTATTGCATTTGAGTGTGTTGGCTTTAATGATTTCTTGTATGTCTATTCTTTTGGCTTTAGACCATGCAACTATGATTGTTTTGGTTGCTTCTGTAATTTTTTTTGTATCATCTGGTCTGTTCCATAGAGGGATACAGTTTTTTTCTGGGTAAAAGTAAGTTATTTGTTTGTGTATTATTCTCATTTTCTCAGTTGTTCTTTTATTCCTGTTAAAGTGGCCTTTGTGATCATTTTATAGTATTTGTTGAGGAGAAAGATGTGTTTCAGTTTATGTTGCCTGTTTTTTGTTGGTTTGTTCTTCTTTATCTCTTTGTAAGTGCTTAAACTAGACTTTGTAGCAGTTAGGATACTTTGCCTGAGTGTGTTCCATATCTTGTTTGGGTCTTAATTTTCATTGACTCGTGAGTTTTTGCTTATTTCTATAAGCTCCTCTACTATTATTGCAAACTTTTTCCATTGCTCTTCAGAGTTGGCCTGCCATAGATACCTTATGTTGTTATAGAGCTGATAAAGTTTAGTTTCTTCTTTGTTGAGTTACCATGTTTTTATTGTTATAATTTGTATGCTATGGTCTGTCTTGATATAATTGTTGTTAGTTATATAGGCATCCATAATGCTCCAAGTAGGTCTTGAGATTGTCCAAATTATGTCTATATGACTGGCAGCATCATTGCTGGTCCATGTGAATTTCTTTGCTCTGGGTGTAACAAGTTTACCTAAGTCGTCTGATAAAAACATGACTTTACACCTGAAAGTTAAATGAAAACTGCTAAAACGGTCTTAGAAAACTATGGGTATTTTGATGAGACAAACATTTTTCTTAAAGGCTAAAAAGATATTGTCAAATAGGATTTCAAAATAATCAAGGATTTAGACCTCCGGCCATGAAATACTAATGATTTACTAGAATATATGATATTTTAGATCACATGACCTGACCACTGATTCCGAAGCTTCGAAGTGATACAAGACCCGAATTTCTAATAGCATATAGACAAACACCAATAGATTCATAGTAATAGTTGTGTTTCATTATGATTGTCTTTATCATATTGTTTTTTATTTTATTTTCTTTTTTTTTTTATTAATTACATGCATTAATCTTCTGGGAGAACCACTAAGATTATATGTACAGTATATTAGTTTATATATTTTTATTATATTTATTTATATGGAAAATATATGTATTTAAAGGCTATTTTTTTTCTTTACTGACAACTCAAAGTTGTCTGTTTCCTAGTTTACATTTAATAAAGTTTTCCTTTAACTAAGATACATAATAATGAAATAACTTCCTAACATTGCATATGTTACACTGGGATTTATGTGTCGGAATGTTTCTATAAGTCTTAGATCTTGTATTGTTGTAAAAAAGCTGTTTTTTTGTATGTAACTATCTTTCATCTTGGGTGAAGGCAATCGATAATCTGTTATAGCATTGTGTTAAAATCACCTTCTAACACTACATGCCAATTGTTGTAATTGTGCTGTTTTATCCATTTAATGATGTGTCCTTGTACTGCTTCTCTATTTGAACCTGGTTATACTGGAAGGCATATTCCAATGATGTGGATATATTTTTTGTCAGGAAATGCTAGGTCGATGCAGATTAGCCTGTCAAACTTCTTTTGAATATTGATGACTCTATCTGCTAATGGTCTCCTGATGGCAATGCCAACTCTGGTACCTTTAGATTCATTTTTCCACCATGTTGCATATTTCTTTGTCTTTCACTTGTTCACTGTCTTGCTGATCCCATTGGTTTCTGTAAAGATTATTATATCCCAGTTGGCTTTTGACCATGAGTCTATCCATGTTGTTCATTTTATCATGTCAATAAGGCCTTGACAATTGCAGGTTACTATTATGATATATGGTCTTGTATCAAAGATGTGTTCAGGATTTTGAGTCAATTTGTGTTCAGTTGTGTTGGCTGAGTGTGTGTTTATTGGTATTGAGAAAGGATGGTATATTGGTGGATTGATGACTGTTTTCTGTATATTATTCATATCAATAAGTGATAAATTTTTGTTTGTTTGATTATTCCCAGAAGAGGAGTTGTTTTTGTTGCTTTGTGTGTTATCCATTATTAGTGAAGTTGGAGGTATTAGAATTGTTTGTTGCTAGGGATAATGCTTGCGATGATGGACACTAATGTGTTCATGGTTTTATCTATATTTCTGATTGAGTTGTGCAGTTGTTGTTGTTGTTGTTGGATGTCAGAGATGTTGTCTTGCTTAGGAGTTTCTTTGCCTTATTCCTGATTGTTTTGGCTTGTGTCTTCCTCCATATCTTCTATCTGACCAAAGCAGTATTGTTTAAAATTGTCAATTCTGTTATCAAGGTCATTGAGCATGTCTTTAATTGCTCTAAATTTCCTTTGAATCTATACTGCATGATTGTGATATCTTTGAAGTTTTCAGTTCATGGAGAGTTGGGTTGTGAATATGTGTTAGAACGTTTAATGTTCTTATCTTTAGCTACTGTGGTATAGGATCCTGGAATTGTTGTGTCTTGTTTTGATGTAGGGTGGGTGAGTTTGTGTATTTTGAAGTAGCAGGATAGTCTGAAGCGATTATAGAGTTTTTTAAATCTCTCTGCTTGCTTGTGGTTATATTTTTTACATTGTTTCCTATGTTCCTTAATGGTGCAGTTGACCACGAGGTGTTGAGGACTATCTTATATGGTACAAAGCTTTGTTTGAATGGTTTTCATTTTGATAATGGTCTCACCGAGACTGAATTGTTGTTTCAGGGCCATTTGAAATATTTTCTCATCTTCAAAACTGAGAACAGCATACTTTCTGGATTTGTATGACATGAGATGGGGAATGTAGCATATCTTTGCTTATAATTTCTGGCAGGTGTGTCTTAAGTCAAATGCTGTTATGTTGGGTAGAAAGTTCGTAAGTTTGAGGGAGTGCCTGCCCCTGTCTTTCATCTGATCTAAATTCCAACAGGCATCAAAGATTCTGATTGAGTTAACTTTGATGGGAATGCTTCAATGGGATAGTAGTTTGTTTTTATCTTCTTGTTGTGTAAATATAATTGTTGTAGTCTGCCACATTTGTTGGGTCATTATCTTGATATTGGTGATTTGTTCAAATTTGATAAATATTTGTTGCACGTTTATGAGTCTGATGTTCAGAGGAATGTTCCAGGCCCTGATACTGTTTTCCTTATTGAGTCTGTTGATTATTTTTTGCAGGTGAGTTAATCTACTGTTATCAGTTTCAGTTAAGATTATGTTACTTGCATCATTTGCAGCTTGTTGATTCCCAAAGATGGTGATGATGTATTCTTCTTCACTGATGCATTCGTGTTGAATGAGGAAGAGACCTTCTGGGGAGTTGAGTGTCTTGATAATATAGATAATCTTTTGATAGATTGTCTATCCAGGTAGCTTTGCAGCTTTAATACCTAATTTAATTCATTTCCTGCCATATCTTGTTTAATAGTCAAAGAGAGATCTTGATCGAGGTCTAGTGTCTGAAGGTCATGCTTGGGTTTCCTTGCCTTTGTCTTTGTTTTTGCTGACTTCCTGCCAAGTATCTGAGTTGTCTTCGGGTTCTTCATTGTAGTCCATTTAACATTTGTTCATCAATTCTGCTATGAAGTGAAAAGTAATAGTAATTTCATTTAGTATATTTGTGTTAGGGTTTTCTTCCTGCCTCTATTCAAGTTCAACTTGTTTGATCCATGTTTTGTTTGCCTGTTTAGGCTCAAGATTGTTCAAAGCAGGGTCCTTATCTGCCTGTTTGTCTCTTCCTGGATTGTTGTTTGTACTGGTGGACATTTGTTGGGCTGTGGGAGAAGCATGGATGGTCTTTGATTTTTTACTGTTACTGGATTTCTTGTCTATATTAAATATTTTCTTGTTTACCATGGGAGCTGCCATACCTTTGCTAAGCTTCTCAACATTGTAGTTTGGCCTGCTGTTGATGTATTGCTATTATTTGGGTCTTTCCATCCTATCAGACTCTTTCGTTGTACCTTGAGATATTGCTGTGCCACAGGTGAATAGAAAAAAGTCATGTTCAATTGATTGTTAATTACATTTGTGTTCTGTGTTTACTAATATAATTTATTTGACTCTGTTTTTTGCTGAAGGAAAGTTTTTTGGCTTGAAAAATATTTTATTTAGTGCATATCTTTAAAAGGTTGAATGTGTGCTTCTATCTTAATCCATTTTCTTAATGAAGAAGTTTTTCTTCTTTTTTATTAATTGATTCTAAATATCATGTTGTATTCTTCTCTTCATCAATATCAAAAGTGATCCAATAGTTGCCATTAATAAATTTGATTTTGAAGGGATTTATTCTCTTGGGTTTACTTAAAGTTTCCTTGAGATATTTGATTTCTTCTTCTTTGTTATTTCCTTATAATATAGTTTGCAACACTTCCAATTTAATTGTACCTATTTATTTAATAAAGTAGGGATTAACTTTAGAACCTTGTATCCTATTTCATGTATAATAAGAGATATTTTCTGTGATACAGATTTCCTGGACCATCCCTTTGATTATTTTTGCTTTTGCCTACTCTATTAGGATCCTGTCTTTTATTTCAATTTCTTTAATCAGGTTAATTTCTTCAGTTGTTATAAAAGTTGGTTGAATGTCTATTGGAACATTATCTATTTTTGTGATTTCTTTTATACTATGACTTGAGGTGTAATTTTTTATCTTGTTTGTTAATATGTTATACACATTTTCTTCAAACATAAGAGCTTCTAGGTCTTGTATTTTGTTTGTCCCTTTTTCCACAAAGCAATAATATATTTTCTTAACATATATTCTTTTGCCAAAGTTAAAGGATCTATGTTTAACAAATTGACAATAATGTTGTTTAATATTGAGGTTGCATGAATTGCTTCTACTGACATATATGGTTGATCTTCTGTTTTGTGCCTTAGCTTATATTGAAGCATTTTTGTCTTCTATAGTTCTTGGTAGAATCATGACTAGTAGCAATATTCTCTAATATTCTTAGAATTTTTTGCTTGCGTTCTTCTAGAATTTTGATAATGTTTTACTCTTTTTGAGTCATATTGTCATGTAAGATGAATAAACTATTATGTGTATTGAGTTGTTTTAATATTTTGTTGTTTTTTTGTATAGTAATCAGTAAATAAGAAATTATATTGGATTATATAATCAGATAATCTTTACAAATATATTGTTTATCCATATGTTTTGATCTTGTGTAATGATCTTGTTTATCTATACATATATTAATTATTTATTGCTTATGATGCAGTTGGATTAACATGTATTACTATTTTGAAGTATATTGATATATTATAAGTTGTTGTTTTATTAGGTCTAGGATTTATTCACTTTTACGTATTTGTGTTTACATGATGTGAACTAATAGATCAGTTGTTGTAATTGTTTGTACTGATCTTTATTGTTTGATCTAAGAGATCTAAATGTTCTTCTAGATTTTTTGAGCTCTGAATTTGAATTGATTTATCAGTTTAGATTATTACTTTTTAAACCTTTCTCAGTATCTAAAAAGGTGTTAACTTGCACTGGCCTGACTAAGAGCATTATGAAGTTGATGTTGGATCTCAAGAAACTTACTATGAATAAGCTTTCTCTTCTTCCTAAAGCAAATTAAAAGTATAAGGATATTGATGTAAATTATTATTATCTTTGAAGTCAATTGTATATTATATATAGCAAAGTTATTATTATTGCTATTTCTTCTTGAGATTGTTTCTTGTGAGAAAGTTTTACTTTAGAAAATTACTATAAAATAAAATTTTTTAAAATTTAAAGATTAGCAAAAAGAGTTGTCCATAATTAAGTTATATAATATTTGAGAATATAAACCAAAATAAAAATAATAATAATTATATTATTAGTTTCACTGAATCATTAAACTATATTATCTTAAATAGAACTTAATTATTCTTCAAAAATAATAGTTATATGTAATAAAATAGAACTATAGAATATTCTAGAGAGGCCTGTAGATCTATAGCATAATGGTAGTGCTCCCAGGTTTCAATCACAAAATACAAAGTTCAATACTACATAGAAGTCAAGTGAAAAATACTGTATTACAATGAATTTTAGTACTCCATTGCACAATAATAAATGTTATTGAGTGTAGTTCTGATTATCTTACTGAATAACTGAAATGAAAAAATCCATTACTACATGATATCACCTGTAGCTAATATTTATCAAATCAGGCTGATCTACAGATATTATGAGATAATTAGTATCTTATAATTACTCTAATAAGGTGGAGTAGGATGGGACTAATCTCGGAATTAACTGAAATAAAGACTGGATTGGCATCAAATACCTTGATAATCTTATTGACACAAGAAGTTAACATAATTTAAGAAGATTAAAGTTTTGAAGAGAGTAAATATTGTACCAGTGTGATGTATAAAAGCATGGCCAAATGGATAAGACTTATTATTGAGAGACTTTGGTGAAAGAAAAAATCCATAGATTATGCTGAAATCTCAAATTTAGAGACAGGCTAGAGCAAACACAATAGTTTGATAATTAAATTACTCTATAAAATTGTTCTAGTAAAAATTAAAAAAGCATCATTTGGTTTTCTTTAATGAGATAGTTAATATATATAGTATGTAATATATTTACTATATATAAATTATTATATATACAACATTATTTTGAAGTAAATAAAAACTACAGAAAACAACATTAATATTAACAACTTTGAAATAATACCAGCAGATTCAACTATGGTTATTAGAGTTCTAAGCATATAGAATGAAATCAAACCTGGAAAGAAGCACCAAACCTGATTATGTCCAAGACAATTTTTCTTTGCAACATACTGGCCAGAAAACAAATTATGACAAAATACATTGATATATCATAAATAATGTAGTCTTCCCATTATAGAATATCTTTTATAGAACTTAGTTCTTATACAAGGAGAATGTACTAAGATAGACAAAAAAATTAGATATAGTTTCAGATAACAGGTTAGCCTGGTCGTTCAGCATCCAACACAATTATTCATCTTAATAACTAATATAGTATTATAGAAATACAAACAAAACAATTACAAAAACATGCTAGTAATATATAATAACTTTTTTTTAATTTAAATATAGTCAGTGACATTATATACAACTGCATTCATGAGCTTCAATGGCTTACATAGCAGAAGAAGGACATCTTTAACACCTGTCTATATATTTTTAAAGAACTAGTCAATTTTCTATAGGACTGCTTATAGAACATTCAGAAACACAATATGAATATCAATAGATTTATTATAGAGAACAACAATCTTTACAACCTATACCCTATATAAGACTTTGTTATCAAAGCTGGTATTCAAACTACTGTTATGGGTCATATGGATGATGCAATTTATATGTAATGGTCTAGAATCCAAAAACTTGAAAGTCTGGCATAAAAGATTGAGTGTCGCAAAATAAGAAACTATAGATAAGGCATGGATACTGATAAGGAAATCATGTGTACCTGAAAAAGTAAGGAAAGTTTAGCAAAGCTTAGAGTTAGTATAGCCAATTATAAAGTAGATAGCCATTGTTAGTTAGAAAAGTATAAATAG